ACTTTTATATGGCCTTTCTAGCCATGGTCTTGTAAAAATCACCAAATGATTGGGTGGGGCTATGCAAAGAAGGTGCTTGTGGCCCACCAAGGGGATTTGACAGCTTGTTGATTATGCAAATAAGGTGCATGACAACCTTGTGGGGGTGGGATCATGCAAATAGGATGCATGGAACCCTAACAAAGGGATTGGTCAGTTTTGCCATCCTCCTAGGCTTAAAATGAGCCATTCCAGAGGCAGAAAAAGAAGAACTAGGAGTGGAATGCATCCTTTAGACCTGAAATCCCTGCACTGAGAACCTCCTACACCCAGCAGACAGAGAGAGAGTGTTGTAACACCAGAGATGGTGAGAGATGGTGAGAAGCTGCAGCAGAGAAATGGCAACAGCAGAAGCAGCAGAACCAGGAGATTGGCAGGAGATGGCATGGTAGGCCTCATAGCCCATGGAGCGAGAAAGCTGAGTGCCTTTGGGCAGGAGCTTACTGGAAGGGTGGGGTACCTCCAGGCAGTTGGTGGAGCTAGGCTTACTGACCCATGGAGCTAGAGAGCTGAGCACTTTAGGGCAGGAGGCCTGCTGGCAGAGTACGGTGCCTCTGGGCACTTACAGTGGCGCAAAAGAGCTTTGTAACACTTGGCCTGGGCAGGGCAGAGGCCAGGCTGGCCCAAGAGGCCCAAGGGGCCAAAAGGCAGAGGGCTGAGAGGCCAAGGGCCAGGGAGAGGCCTGCCTGCAGGCACGGCCAAGAAGCTGCCCTCACAGGAGAACTGTATCCTAAGTCATTGCAGATCCTGAATTGTAACCTGTTACTGCCCTAAAAAAACCCCATAATCAAGAGTATTGTCGATGAGTTCTGCGTGGCCACTACAACGGATTATCAAACCCAGCAGAGAGGTACAGAGTGCCATGGGAAGGATGGCTGGTGTCAGAATTGATAAAAAGTTTGGAGAGAGGTATGTCTGACCTCTGCTTCATGGGAATCAGCTTGGGGCTGATGCTGATTGGATTCTCTCTCCCCCTTATGAAGTTAGAGGAGCTCTGATGTCACTATGCCATTTTTATTATACATATATATATATATATATACACACACATATAGTAATAAATAATAAAGTGTAGGTAGTAGGCATTAGCCATTAGTACAGTTATTCCCTAGAATTTTACTAGGGACAACTTCTTCATTGCAAATACCTCTTCTCAATAACACAAACAGCAACTATGCACATGGACCATGCCAGGTGGAATACACAGGAATCAAATTGATGACATTTTTTATGGAAAGAGACACTGAAAAGCTCAATATCATCTGTCGGAACAAAGCCAGGACCCAACTGCGGAGCAGACCATCAATTGTCCATATGCAAGTTCAAGTTGAAGTTGATGAAAATTAGAACAAGTCCACGAGAGCCAAAGTACAACCTTGAGTATATCCCACCTGGATTTAGAGATCATCTCAAAGATAGATTTGATGCATTGAACACTAGTGACTGAAGACCAGACGAGTTGTGGAATGACATCAAGGACATCATACATGAAGAAAGCAAAAGGTCATTAAAAAGCCAGGAAAGAAAGAAAAGACCAAAATGGATGTCAAAAGAGACTCCAAAAGTTGCTTTTGAATGTAGAGTAGCTAAAACTAAAGGAAGAAATGATGAAGTAAAAGAGCTGAACAGAAGATGTCAAAGGGCAGCTGGAGAAGACAAAGTAAAGTATTATAATGAAATGTGCAAAGACCTAGACATAGAACACCAAAGGGGAAGAACACACTCGACATTTTTCAAGCTGAAAGAACTGAAGAAAAAATTCAAGCCTTGAGTTTCAATATTGAAGGATTCTACGGGGAAAATATTAAACGATGCAAGAAGCTTGAAAAGAAGATGGAAGGAATATATAGAGTCACTGTACCAAAAAGAGCTCATCGACATTCAGCCATTTCAGGAGGTAGCATATGATCAAGAATTGATGGTACTGAAAGAAGAGGTCCAAGCTGCACTGAAGGTATTGGCAAAAAATCAAGGTTCCAGGAATTGACAGAATAACAACTGAAATGTTTCAACAAACAGATGCAGCACTGGAAGTGCTCACTCATCTATGCCAAGATATTTGGAAGACAGCTACCTGGCCAACCAACTGGAAGAGATCCATATTTGTACCCATTGCAAAGAAAGATGATACAACAGAATGCAGAAATTATCAAACAATATCACTAATATCACATGCAAGTAAAACTTTGCTGAAAATCATTCAAAAGCAGTTGCAGCAGTACATCGACAGGGAACTGCCAGAATTTCAAGCTGGATTCAGAAAAGGACATGGAATGAGGGATATCATTGCTGATGTCAGATGGATCATAGCTGAAAGCAGAGAATACCAGAAAGATGTTTATCTGTGTTTTATTGACTATGCCAAGGCATTCAACTGTGTGGATCATAACAAATTATAGATAACATTGTAAAGAATGGGAATTCCGGAACACGTAATTGTACCCATGAGGAACCTGTACTTAGCCCAAGAGGCAGTCATTTGAACGGAATAAGGGGATACTCTGTGGTTTAAAGTCAAGAAAGGTGTGCGTGAGGGTTGTATCCTTTCACCATATTTATCAACCAGTATGCTGGGCAAATAATCCGAGAAGCTGGACAATATGAAGAAGAGCAGGGCATCAGAATTGGAGGAAGACTCATTAACAACCTGCAATATGCAGATGACACAACTTTGCTTGCTGAAAGTGAAGAGGACTTGAAGCACTTACTGATGAAGATCAAAGACCACAGCCTTCACCATGGATTACACCTCAACATAAAGAAAACAAAAACCCCCGCAATTGGACCAATAAGCAACATCATGATAAACAGAGAAAAGATTGAAGTTGTCAAGGATTTCATTCTACTAGGATCTACAGTCAATGGCCATGGAAGCAGCACTCAAGAAATCAAACAACGCATTGAATTGGGCAAATCTGCTGCAAAAGATCTCTTTAAAATGTTGTAAAGCAAAGATGTCACTTTAAGGACTAAGGTGTTCCTGACCAAGCCATGGCATTTTCAATTGCCTCGTACGCATGTGAAAGCTGGACAATGACTAAGGAAAGCAGAAGAATTTATGCCTTTGAATTGTGGTATTGCAAAAGAATACTGAATATACCATGGATTCCCAGAAGAAATCTGTCTTGGAAGAAGTACAGCCAGAATGCTCACTGGAAGCAAGGATGGCGAGACTTTGTCTCACGTAATTTGGACATGTTATCAGGAGGGACCAGTCCCTGGAGAAGGATATCATGCTTGGTAAAATATAGGGTCAGCGAAAAAAAAGGAAGACCCTCAAAGAGATGGAATGACACAGTGGCTGTAACAACGGGCTCAAGCATAGAAAGGATTCTGAGGATGGCGCAGGACTTGGCAGTGTTTTGTTCTGTTGTACATAGGGTCGCTATGAGTCAGAATCGACTTGGTGGCCCCTAATGACAACTATAGTTATTCCCTAGAATTTTAGCCTTCATAGTTAATCTAGACTGACTGTTTAAGTGTCAGAAAACAGATCTCTTCATTTTGTACTTTCTACGCAACCTTATCCTCATTTTGCATTTTCTACGCAACCTTATCCTAAGTATAAAGCCCTTTGTTTCATTCTCTTAAATGTTACTGTACAAATATTTATCCAAATATGCAACAAATATCTGAGCACCTAAAATTGATAGACACTGTCCTAGGTGTTGGAGACACCAGAGTGTGCAACTAATAGCACCTTACAGGGTTGTTAGGATTAAGAGGTTGCTAGTAATGCAATTGTCAAGTGCCCTGGCACAAAACAAGCACTAAGCATTGCTATTTTCTATTTATATAATTTTGAATAATTTCTTTATGCATACTTTTCTAAATATAAGAAAATTCATATTCCTGTGTAAAAACTCTTTACACATTGCTAGTCTCCAAAGAGATCGAACCCCTTTATACTGCCACCAGCAAGGTCCATCTGTTCTCTCACATTGAAATTTTTAAAAAATAACTTCTTGCTTGTTGATTTAGAAAAGCATGTGGTGGTGTGTCAAAGGTGGCCTCACATTTCTTTAACTGCTATCAAAAGCTTTAGATACTTACTAATGTGCAATTAGTTTTCTCATTCTCTGATTACTTAGCGTGTGGCATCTGGATAATGTTAAAAGGTACACAAGTGCGGGGTCTGAGTCCAGCTGTGTGTCAGCTCCCTGGGCCACGTCCCCTCGTCCATAAGTTGAGAAAAATAGAACTGTTGTGTCCCCAGGTTCTTTGAGGATGAAGTGAGTAATGTGAGTGGATGAATGTTTATAAAATGAAATATGTGTTTGTTAAATAATATGAAGTATTAAGCCTCTTATCACCTATTTCTCATTTATCCTCCATTTTAGTGCTTTTTTTGTAGTTGCTAAGTAACCAAAACTTAAATGAAGGGTTGGGGATTTTTTCCTCTGAAAACTAAGTCGTGTTTTGATTTTGCTACAGTTTTTTTTCATTAGTGCTTTTCTATAGTAGATTTTTTAATTAATTCTTTGGTAAATGTAAAATTTACTCCAAAATGTCCTATGATATATGGCCTTAAGTTCTCTTCCATCTTGTTATTCCAACAACAGTTGCTATAGTGGTTCTGTTGTTCCCAGTTTTTCCTAAATTAATCTCAAAGAATTTGTTTATTGCTATAGAAACCAAGATCTGGTCTTTGAATTCCATACTGGCTTAGTCTTATTGTACAATTATGTAACTCTGTGTGTGTGTGGTTTGTGCGTGTGTGCGTGTACCTAGTTTTCTTATTCTGCTTTACGTATTTCACGGCCTCTGTAAATCATTTTCTTGGAATTTTTAGATATAAAACTGATGTTTGCAGAATATAATTCTTCTTTTTTGAGTTTTATGCCTTTACCATTCCTTCTTAAATAGTTACTGCAAGGACTTCAAATTCTGGGTAAAACAGGAGTATTGGTGGTTGTGCTTTTTAACTTGATGTATTACTTGTTGAGGATTTTTGTTTTCTTTTGGATGTAAATATTAAAATTGCATTATTCCTGCGCACATCAACCCTCTCTTTAAAGACTCTTTCTAAAAGCACTGTCTAAGTTGGCTTTTATTCTTCTCCATTTCAGGCCCCTGACATTTATGGGATCACAGACAAAGAAGGTCCTGTTGACTCCCATCACGCATCCGGCTCGTCCTTTCCGGGTCTCAAACCATGACAGGAGCAGCCGGCGGGGGGTGATGGCCAGCAGCCTGAAGGAGCTCATCAGCAAGGTGCATGTCCCACCAGTCCTCAGAAGGTCCCAGAACTCAGAGGGCCGAGGCCACAAGTCCTGAGCCAATGCAAAGACAGAAAAGTCCAGAAAAACAGCATGTCCAACTTATTAGACCGTCTCCTTGCCTCTGAGAGTCAGGGCAGCCGTTTCTCAGTGGTCCGAGGAGACATTATTGCCTCTCTATCCCATGAAAGACAGGCACAGAGACAAAACCCTTAAACGTAGCCAGCAATGGACCATGTCGCTTGGTTTCTTTCATAATAGAGAATATAGGGAAGCAGGAAACTTTGGAAATTTGTTTTTGGTTATAAAGCCCAGGGAAGAATAGTCCTTAATCCAAAACTGTGTCTCAGATCTCCAGATGAAGAAGGATCACAGCCTCTCAGCGAAGCATAACTTCGGTAAAGTAGCTATGGAAACAAGAAGTGAGCATGCAAGTGCAGTCTCCGCAGCACGGGAGCATTCAGATATGCCCCAGGAGACAATGCCCTTCAGGAATCACGCCTACAGGGTGACTCTTCGTATTTGTGAAGTTAGCAATTTTTGAAATTATAAATGTTATTCAGTTTAATCACTTATGTCATGAAAATCCCTTAAGAAGGTAAGTCCTTCAAAAATCTTAACTTCTCTTTTTCCAAGCATAAGACTGAACTATAAATACCAACTAAGGTGTATCTTAACCATTCACATTTTATCAAAATCAGCCAACACTTTTTAAAACTCTAACCTAAAAAATATCATCGAACGGTCAAATGGAAATATCTTGCTTCATCTCTTTTCTCTGATGCATATCTAGACCCTGGATGCCCTCGTTATCACTGCTGGGCTGGTCACTTTGGTGCTGGAGGAAGATGGCACCATGGTGGATACAGAAGAGTTCTTTCAGAACTTACAAGACAACACACATTTCATGATCTTGGAAAAAGGACAGAAGTGGACCCCGGTAAGCAAAAACACAGTTATCCAAACAAGCATTTTACCTGCAAAGGTGTGCTCCCTACTGTGGTGCTGACTTGCCCACTCTCTAAATATCTACCTTGCATTAATCTAATAACTGGACTACTATTCTCAAAGTGATTCTTATAAGTATTTCTAGGAAGCTTAGTACCTCTGTAAACTTGGCCTGTATGATTTAAAGCAAATAATTTTGAGGGACAAGCTTCAGACAGTGAGTAGCTACAGATCCTTTTAAAGTGTGAAGATGTGGCCTGGTGACTAATCACTGTACCTGCCCTTAGGAGGCCAGAGAAGTTAACACAACCAATAACGTTAAGGACAGTGTGTGTGTGTGTGTGTGTGTGTGTGTGTGTGTGTGTGTGTTTGTGTGTAAATACAGTGGTTTAGAAAAGCAAAGACATAAAATGCAGTCTTCTATGTCTGGGAAAACTATTGATTATATACCTTAAAAAATTCTCCCACTAAAAAACACTTAAAAATGTAAAGCAAAATATTAAAACATCTTTCCCATGCCTAGCTGAGCCTTCAAGAAAGGGAAATTCTCAGAGGTCAAAGATTTTTCTGGGAGGCAGGGTCCAGAGAGGAAGCAGGCACTGAAGCTGCAGCCCACCTGTGGGCCCCCACTGAGCCTTAGTGGCCAGCTTCAGTGGGTGCTTGGGGACAGGAGATGCAGTCTGTGGCTGAAACGCAGTGGAGGTCAGGGAACCGTCAGGGTCTCCTCAGATAATATGTAGCCTCAAACCACCCTCATGAGGTTTTAGGGACAGCTGAGTTAAAAAACACTCAACCTAAGAATTTAGTTTAAAGAGATCTGGGGAAGAGTGCCGGTGGAAAGATTTTACTCACTGAGTTCTCTTTACTCAACTAGTCCCTCCCCCAAGTCCTAAGGATTCAGGGGTGATAGTGCCCCAGTTAGCCAGCAAGAGCAAAGGACCATGAGCTCTGGATGAACATTCAACCAGGCCTCAAAGGATTTCCATACCTAAAGTTCCAAAAAATGTGAGTTCACAATCAAAACACAAAACATGAGACTCATGGCACTATATGTGAGAGTAAACAGGAAGAAAGTCAGACCTGCAAAGACCTCAGATATTAAAATGATCAGATACAGAATATGAAATATTTTTAAATGTTCAAAGAAATCATAAGTAGGAAGGAACAAGAGGTAATCAATAAGGGCTAGGCAGGCTTTAAATAATCAAATGGAATTTCTGGAAATGAAAAATATAGCAACTGAAATAAAATAAATGGAGACTCAGGTTAGACAGAACCGAAGAAATAATCACAGGCCTAGAGGATATGTCTGTGGAAGGCGCCCATGGTGTAACACAAAAGACAGAGATGGAAAACACAATGGAAGTCAGAGCCATGACTAAGGAGATCTGATATATGTCCACTTGGCATCCTCAGGATAGGGAAGAACTTTTGTTTTGTTTTATTTTTAAGAAACAAGACACAATGCACAGACCATTAAATAAAAATTATAAATTCAAGTCCATTAGGAATTCTGTTCAACTCACACTTCCTGATCTCAGAACCTACTATATAGCCACGGTAGTCAAAACAGCCTGGTACTGGTACAATGACAGACACATAGACTAATGAAACAGAATTTGAGAACTCAGAAATAAATTCATCCACCTATGGACAGATGACCTTCAAAAAAAGTCCAAAGTCCATCAAATGGGGAAGAGACTGTCTCTTTAACAAATGATGCAGGCAAAACTGGATACCTATCTGTAGAAAAATGAAAAATAAGACCCATACCTCACCCCATATACAAAACCCAACTCAAAATGGATCAAAGATCTAAACATAAAACCTAAAACTATAAATATCACAGAAGAAAAAATAGGGACAATGCTAGGAGCCCTAATACGGGGCATAAATAATATACTAAACGTAATTAAAAATGCACAAACAGCAGAACGAGGCCTCCTAAAAATTAAACATCTATGCTCAACAAAAGACTTCTCCAAAAGAGTAAAAAGAGAAACATAGACTGGGAAAAAAAATTTGGCTACAACATACCCAACAAGGGGCTAATCTCTAAAATTTATAGAAAATATCAACACCTCAACAACAAAAAGAAAAACAATCCAATTAAAAATGGACAACAGAACTAAAACAGTTTCCGAGGCCAACTCTTCAGACGGGGATTGGACTGGACTATGGGATATTAAGTGATACTGGTGAGGAGTGTGCCTCTTAGCTCAAGTAGATACAAGAGACTAAACGGGCAGCTTCTGTCCAGAGGTGAGATGGGAAGGCAGAGAGGGTTAGGAGCTGGTTGAATGGACATGGGGAATCAGGGTGGAAGGAGGAGTGTGCTGTCACAGTATGGGGAGAGCAATTAGAGTCACATAACAATGTATGTATAAATTTTTGTATGGGAAAAAATAAAAAATGGGCAAAAGATATGAATAGACACTTCTTCAAAGAAAACATTCAGGCTACAAACAAACACATGAAGAAATTCTCACAATCATTAGCCATCAGAGAGATGCCAATCAAAACTACGAGATACCATCTCACTCCAACAATAATAGCACTAACCAAAAAAAAAAAAAAAAAAACAACAAATGCTGACAAGGTTGTGGGAAGATTGGAACTCTTATACACTGCTGGTGGGAATGTAAAATGGTATAGCCACTATGGAAAAATGTGTGGCGCTTCCTTAAAAAGCTAGAAATAGAAATATCATATGATCCAGCAATCCCACACCTAGGTATATACCCCAGGGAAATAAGAGCCATGACATAAATAGACACATGCACTCCCATGTTCATTGCAGCATTATTCACAATAGTAAAAAGATGGAAACAACCTAAGTGCCCATCAATAGATAAATAGATAAACTGTGGTATATACACACAATGGGATACTACTCAATGAAAAAGAACAATGATGAATCCTCGAAACATCTCACAACATGGATGAAGTTGGAGGACAAATAAGTCAATCACAAAAATACAAATATTGTGTGAGATCACTACTATAAAAAATCAATAATAGGGTTACACACACACATACACATACACAAATTCTTTGATGGTTACCACAGGTGGTAGGGTGAAGGAGGAAAAATCACCAACTAGAAAGAACCATGTTAATACTGGTGAAGGGAAAGATATTACACAATAGGGGGGAGGTCAGCGCAACAAGACCAAGGCAAAGGAAGGCACTGAGAGGAACGCAAGAATGAAGAGCAATCACGGTAATTACTGTAACATAGACAACCCTACAACAATAGTATTAACAAATCTACCAATGGATATATAGGTAGAGAGGTATGCTGAAGAGGAGTGGGAGGGTGCAATGTTGAGAACATTACTACATACACATTTATAGATGCTGCAAGTAAATTAAAACAGACAATAGAACACACAAGGGGCATAGTCATGGAAACTTCCTAGACATAACCAAACACCTTGCGGGTGAAGTTACTAGGCTTAAAGGCTAAGGACTAGACTTGGAGGACATCTATGTCAATTGGCATAACATAGTTGATAAAGACAATGTTCTACATCCTATTTTGGTGAGTAGCATCTGGGGTCTTAAAAGCTTGTGAGCAGCCATCTAAGATACAACTATCAGTCTCTTCCAGTCTGGAGCAAAGGAGAGTGAAAAAAACTAAAGACTCAAGGGAGCAATTAGTCTAAAGGACTAATGGACCACAGAAACCATAGCCTACATGACCCTGAGACCCAAAGAACTAGACGGTGCCCCGGCTACAACTACTGACTGTTATGACCAGGATCTTAATAGAGAGCACCAATGGATACATAGATAGCACAAAACTCAAATCCATAAAAAAGACCAGACTTACTGGTCTGATAGAGACTGGAGTAGCCCCCGAGACTCTGGCCCTAAGACACCCTTCTAACATAGAACTGAAGACATTCCCAGAGACCACCTTTCAGCCAAATAATAGACAGGCCTAAAAAATAAACAATAACACCTTAGAGGAATGAGCTCCTTAGAACAGTTAATTATATGAGACCAAAAGGGCAAAATCTGTCCAAAAGCAAAGATGAGAAAGCAGGAAGGGGTAGGAAAGCCAAACAAAAGGTATTGGAGAACACAGGGTGGATATGAGGAGAGTGCTAACACATTGAGGGTACTGCGACCAATGTCTTGGAATATTCTGTGTACAAATTGTTGAATGGGAAACTATCTTGTAGTTTATAGAGAAGGTGTTTGCAGCATAACCTGGCAAAGGATTAGTATTCAGAAAATTTAAAGGTCTCACACAAGTTGGTGATGGAAATGACAGACAATCCAACACACACACACACAAATGAGCAAAAGACAGGGACAAACATCTCCAGAACAGACAATAAAACAAGGGGAAGATGGACAACTTATTGGTGATTAGAGAAGACCACAATACTCAGATGAACTGATAAACAGAATGTGGTACATACACACAATGGAATACTACTCAGCCATTAAGAGAAATGAAGTCTTAATACATGTTACAATATGAATGGAGCTTGAAGACATTATGCTGAGTGAAATAAGTCAACCACAAAAGGACAAATATTGTATGACCTCACTTACATAAAAAGACAAGAAAAGGCAAATATACAGGGGCCAAATTTTATTAGTGGTTACCAGGGTTGGGAGGGAGGGGGAAAAGGGGTATTATTGCTTATGGAATACTGAGTTTCAGTTTACAGTGACGGAAAAGTCAAATTGATTAAGGGTAGGTTTGCATGGCTGATTATTCTAAGTGTTGTGAATAAGTTGAATACATGTAAAAAGCTGAATTGGCAAAAGTTGTGTGATAGACATATTTACAACAACAACAAAGAGTAGCTGCTGAGGCTCCCTATGTACAACGAAACACCTTATGGGATTCGGTTCCTTGGTTTGGAGGTTTACAGTCATGGTTTCAGGGGACATCCCAGTTAACTGGCCTAGTAACATGTTTACTGCTTCTGTTCTACCTCCTACTTTGTTGTGTAGTGCCTGTGGTCTTAA